ACTCTGTGTTTCTGCTCTTTGTGTGATCTCAGGAAAAGGCAGTTAAAGAAAACCAAAACCACCGCAGAGCTCTCCTAAAACACCCTTCTGAGAAGCCGAGGAACAGGGTGCTCCTTCCTCCTCCTCTTCCGCCTCCTCCTCCTCCTCCCTCCTTGGAGGGTTGTAGATTGAATCTTCTCCTCTGGAGTTAAACACTCCCTCCAGGCCCCTAAAAATGACCGCCTTTAATTAATTTCCCTGCCAGCCCATTAATAGCAGCTATAATTAGAGGACCACGGGAGATCGCTGGCAGATTAAACCAACCACCTGACTAAACCCACATTTGCACTTGTTACCTTTTTTTTCACAACGGAGCAGATCGAGGATCTGACAAAGCAGCTGGCGCTTTCACACAGATGTGTTTTCATCTTTCTAACAAGCAGAAAAGCAATTTTTTCTTCCCATTTGGGGCTGAAAATGAGCTGGATGCTTCCTGCTCTGCTGTTTAAAGTCTGACACAAACCTGTCTTTTATCCTACGTCAACATCAGAGCCTCTGACCCAAACTAGAGCCCAGAGAACTCCGATTTCTGTTGGTTTTCCTCCAGTATGAGGCTTCATTTCGGAACACAGAATTTAATTTATTAAGTCGAACAAGCACGGATCCATTTGACTGACTAAACTGTGCCAGTCAGCGGTTTTCCGTCTGTCTCTGGTCACATGAACAGCTGTGAGTTTTCTTTGAACTGTCTGTCTTTGGAAACAGAAAACAGAAGCGATGTCTCTCCCTGACCCCCTCACAGTGAGCTCTCTTTATCCCCTTCGCCTCCTTTTCTCTACTTAAGAATTCTGCTTTGTGGCTTTCTTCTGCATGGTGAGCGCTATCCCAACCCTAATCTACTCTAGCCCCTACTGTCCTTTAAAGCCACTCCTCCCCTACCCTAACCAGCCATAACCCTCCCCTACCCTAACTCCTGCCCTAGCCCTATCCTAACCCTACCCAAAGCTACTCTACCCTCCGCCTGCCTTACCATACTCTAACTCAACACTAACCAGTCCCAACCCTACCCTAACCCCTAAACCTATCCCCCCTAACCCTATCCTACCCTAACCCAATATTACCCTAACCCTACCCTAAAATACCCTACCCTAACCTCAATGGTCCCCTAACCCTAGCCTACCCTAACGCTTTCCCTATCCTAAAATATCCTATCCTGACCCTACCTTACCCTAGCATAACCCTACCCTAACCCTACCCCAACCCTAACCCCTACCCGAGCGTTTCCTCTGTGACGAACACACACTGATGTTAGTCAGTCATCGCCGCCATCAAAGGGGAAGTCGAACAGCTGGAAACTCACAGCAAGACAACCAGCCCCCGGCAGGTCTCCATCAGAGTCATGTGCTGAAAACAAAGCAGGATGTACCCTTCAAACTCAGGGGTGAAGTGAAAACGCAGATATCTGAATGGGCCCGTGGAGACAGAGAATCAAATTCTATATCAGGCTCAGGCAGCTTTATCCTTAAAGTCGGAGTGGATGAAACGGATCAGGTTTCAGCATCTTTGTGACACAGATGAGCCCAAACTCCCCGTTATTCCTCTGCTATGGGCAGTTTGAGTAGCACCACAGGAACAGGAGGACGCCGTCGCCCTGTGGCCTCACCACAGACCCGGACCGTCCAGAGCGGAACCTGGAGGGTCATCAGGAGTAATGGCAGCATCACAGCCACAGCTGAGAACCCGTCAGAACCTCTGAACTCTGTGGGTCCTGGTCCCTGGAACAAGCTGACCTCTGAGGGACCCTGTAAACAGCTGACCTCTGACTTCTGAGGGTCCTGTTCCCTGTAGCAAGCTGACCTTTGAGGGTCCTGGTCTCTTTTACCAGCTGACCTCTGACCTCTGTGGGTCCTGGTCCCTGTAGCCAGCTGACCTCTGTGGGTCCTGGTCTCTTTTACCAGCTGACCTCTGATGATCCAGGTCCCTGGAACCAGCTGACCTCTGAGGGTCCTGGTCCCTGTAGCCAGCTGACCTGCTCAGTCATGGGAGTCTCAACTGGGGACTTTCTGACCGCTCAGCTGCTCTGACTCCACATCGACTCTCAGAGGAGGGCGGCCATTTTTTCCCAACCAACGCAAAACCTCCCAGGCCCACAGTAGGGGAACCACCAGACCCCCCCCCCTCTCCTGAGAATGGACCTGTTCAGTTCAATGCAACGTGATATCGTGTAGCTGTCCTCAGATTTTCACACAAAAATCCTCATAATTCCGAGAACAACCTGCTGATCTGAAGTACACAAAGGGCTCAAAATCCAACAAAAACACACACAGGATGCTTACAATCCAGCAAAAACATACAAAAGGCTCAACATCTGGCAAAAATACACACATTGTGCTGAAAATCCACCAAAACCACACACAGGATGCTTACAATCCAACAAAAAACACACACAGAATGTTCAAAATCCAGCAAAACCACACACGTTTTTGCACGAAATCCAGCAAAAACCCAAATACTGTTCTCAATACCCATTAGACCAGAACCAGAACACATCAGACACTGTGCAGCAGAGGCCTCAGAGGGTCGGCCTGCAGCTCTGAGCCGGACGGGTCACCAGAGACACCAGGACAGCTTCAGAGAGACACCAGGACAGCTTCAGAGAGCGTCTCCGTTAGCGTCTCCGAGCTTCAGAACACTGAAACAGAGCAGATGTCCAAACCTGATTACCAGATAATTAAGTTATCTGTTTCCAGAGGAGGACGTCCACAGGAGGCTGCCTGGAAAAAGACTTTTACCCTCTAGAGAAGACTGAGGTGGACATGTCCAGCAGAGACGTTGTTCTCTGAGAGGAGACACTGTCCTGAGAGAAGACGTTGTCCAGAAAGGAGACGCGGTCCTCTGAGAGGAGATGCTGTCCTGAGAGGAGATGCTGTCCTGAGAGGAGATGCTGTCCTGAGAGGAGACGCTGTCCTGAGACGACACGTTGGCCTCTGAGAGGGGACGCTGTCCTGAGAGGAGACGACGTCCTGAGACGCCGTCCTGAGAGGAGACGCT